TCTACCTCCCCCCATCCCCCGCTGCTGCCTTCCGCCTTTTTACTCCAAAAGTGCAGACAGGAGGCAGAGACTAATTATGCTGCCATCGGTAAGCAGTGGAAAAGAAGGGAGGCTTTTCTATTGGTCCCTGCCGAGAATATTTAAGAGCAGAATTTATGGGATTAGTCTCTAGCTTGTCTCACAGGTGATTTATGCTTACAAGTCCCATTAACATTTATGACTCACTCAATGGAACCATCTTTTGTGTTCATGAGTAATTAGGTGGCACATAGTTCTGTCTTTGCCCTGGTGTTGAATCGAACTGTTTCAGCAGCCGCCTTCCCGCCACAACGTTGGCAAGACCGGCTCTACCATTAGGCAGACTGAGGTAGCTGCCTCAGGTATTGGATTCTGGGTGTCATGAAAGGGCAGCAAGTTCTTACCATTGTATTCTTGCCTATCAGTGGGGCAAGCACCAATATTAGTCAAGCTGAAGCAGTCACAGCGAAGAGCATGCTCCTCTCCCTCCCCTGCCACCAGCAAACCATCCCGCTGTGCGCCCCAGAAAGAAAAAGAAAGAGGTGTCCTCATTACCACTGGAGGCTGCAGCGCATCCAGGCATGCTGCCTCCAGAAAAGGAAGAGGCAAATGGTAGAGGAGGCTTGGTTCTGTGGAGCTGGTGAAATCACTGTCCTAGAGGGCCCGACAGACCATGAGTCACAATAGACAAGAAAAAGGTAGACAAAAATTGTGTTACATGATAAGTAATATTAAAGGTGACAAGGTGGAGAAAGGGAAGATGCCTTCGGGGAAAAAGCCAGGTGAACAGTGCTTTCTGGACCCAGGGTCAGTCTTAGTATTTCACACAATATGAAAAAAAGCAACAGATTGCAGAGATGTGCTGCTTTCATGCTTCTGGTCCCCATCTCTGTCAACTGACCATATATAAATTCATCCACAACATGGTGAGTGCACGTGTAAACACACACCCACGTACACACCCGTGGTTTCTGCTTTTGGGTGCAGAAACCTTGTGTCCAGGGCTGTCTGTGGATCCACATGCCGATCTACTGAAGGACTGAGACAGGCTGCTCATGATGAGAAGAGCCAAACTGCTGAGCTAGTGCCTTGCACTGTGCCTCAAAGCATATCCCAAAACAGCTGTAAACGTGCAGCATGGCATATTTAAAACCTGGGATGGAAGCTGCCCTTTTAGAATGCCAGACCCTCATTCCCCAACCCCCACCAGTGTTAACGTCTGAATAAAACTTCCTGAGGCCCTCGTTCGTTCGTTTAGTCGTTTAGTCGTGTCCGACTATCTTCCACTGCCTCCCGGAGTTGTCAAATTCATGTTGGTTGCTTCGCAGACACTGTCCAGCCATCTCATCCTCGGTCGTCCCCTTCTCCTCTTGCCGTCGCACTTTCCTACCATCAAGTTTTTTTCCAAGGAGTCTTTTCTTCTCATGAGATGGCCAAAGTACTGGAACCTCAGCTTCAGGATCTCTCCTTCCAGTGAGCACTCAGGGTTGATTTCCTTTAGAACTGATAGGTTTGTTCTCCTTGCAGTCCAGGGGATTCTCAAGAGCCTCCTCCAGCACCACAATTCAAAGGCATCAATTCTTCGGCGGTCTGCATTCTTTATGGTCCAGCTCTCACTTCCATACATCACAACAGGAAAAACCATAGCTTTGACTATTCGGACTTTTGTCGGCAAGGTGATGTCTCTGCTTTTTAAGATGTTGTCAAGATTTGTCATCGCTTTCCTCCCAAGAAGCAGGCGTCTTTTAATTTCGGGGCTGCTGTCTCCATCTGCAGTGATCATGGAGCCCAGGAAAATAAAATCTGTCACTGCCTCCATATCTTCCCCTTCTATTTCCCAGGAGGTGATGGGACCAGTGGCCATGATCTTAGTTTTTTTGATGTTGAGTTTCAGAGAGAGATCCAGCAACCTTCCTCTGAGGGCCCCGCTCAAAAAAAGGCACACTCAGGCGGGCTGGCTGGCAGGCTGCAGTTCCAGATGGAGGGTGCAAGAGGCGCTGTATTGGGAGTCAGCCAGCGAGCAAGGTGAGGCTTTTTTTGACTCTTGACAGCAGAGGACGCATGGGGCAGGCAAGGCGGGGGCCACAAACTATCATCTGACGGGCCGCACATGGCCCCCAGGCCGCATGTTTGAGACCCCTGTTGTAAGGTGTTTGACAAGAGGCTTTCTGTAGCATTCTCTATTTATTAGGTCTATGGTTCATGTTATATTATGTAATGGTTTATGTTTGTTATGTAATAATGGTTCATACATATTAACGTTGCTGAGAGGCGGAGCCAAGAGAGATGCTATAAGAAGTGGAGCCTGAGTCAGTCTAGGGTCAGTCAGTCAGAGAAAGGTAAGTCAGGCAGTAGAGAGTAAGAGCCAGAGAGTGTAATAGTGTGTGTAGTTTGAGAAATTCGGAGGTGATTAGGTACTGAAGATATTTATGGATCAATCTATGTAATCAATAAACCAAAGTTTTATTTTAAAGACCTTGAAGTGTGGACCTGAATCTTTCTCAAGTAATGGTGATTCAGAGATCGCCTGGTGGCAGCAGTGTTAAAGAGGAGAGTGTTTGCCTTCGTGTGCTCTGAGGCTTGAAGGTCAAGCAAAAGGGGCACGAGGGTGGATGTCACACTTTCCTAATCCATCCTCGAACTGAAGAATGATAAAAGTAAGAAGTCAATCAGCCCCTAATTGCAGAGCAGACAGAAATGCAGGGAGCCCACCTTGAACTCCTTCATTACAACACAAGCTGAAGGCCATATAAATAGGGTGATTTACACAGCTTTGGGACAAGCACCAAGGATGTACAGTAGGAAGATCAGTCTTCTGGTATTACAATTTCCTTTCACTGGGCTGCCATAAAACGGTTATGACAAAAGCAGATGTCAAAATATGAAATTTTAAGGACCTGCAAGTCTGAAGCAGAGTAATCATAGCAGTTAAGTTTTTCTGCAGAGTATTTTATTTTGTACCATTTGTAGGCCGCCTTTCTCCCAATCAGGGGACTCAAGGTGGACAAATACTGTAAAGTAAAACAAGATTTCATTGGTGGCCTAAGGCACTTTACTAACTGTAAAACAAACCTGATCTTGTTTGATTTTAGAAGGTAAGCAGAGGCAGGGCTAGATATCACTTGGCTGAGAGTCCACAAAGGTCTCTAAGTAGGACTAGGAAACAATTCTGCCTGAAACCCTGGAGAACAGCTACTGCCAGTTAAAGTTCACAATAATGGGCTGGAGGGACCCAGGATCAAATCCAGTAAAAGCAGCCTCTACCCCCAATATTCCTATCTCAAGTGAAGTCCAGATACAACTATGTCCACCACAGCATGCTCATATATTTTAAAAATCTTGGTGCCCTTTTCAGCCACAAAGTTGTGACTTCCTCCTGGCCTGTGCCACCAAAATTAGACCATTCTAGTCTGGCAGCTTCCCGGAATATATAGAACTCAGCTGCTCTGTAAGGAAGCCAGTGTGGTGTAGTGGACAGAGTAATGGATCTGGAGTCAGGTGGCCTGGGTTTGATTCTCCGGTTCTGTGAAGGACACTCGCTCCGTAAATAGCTCACTTACCTTGAAAACCCTATTAGGGCGACTGCAGGTCAGTTCTGACTTGACAGATAACAACATTTGCTTTGCATTCATCTGCTTCAAGCGACTGTAAGTCAGTTCTGGCTTGACAGATAACATTTGCTTTGCATTCATCTGCTTCAAGAGTGTAGCGTACACACAGTAATGAGTGCAACCTCGACCTCTGACTGAAGTAGGTAGGGATCTGTATACCCATAGATGCCAAGCTGGGACAGAGTCACGATGTGAGCATAGTTTTCTTCTCATTGCTGTTGGTCCTCTCTTACCAGTGACTGAACAGCATGATGCTCATTCTGACCTAGGATGCAGCAGAGTCACGATGTGAGCATAGTTTTCTTGATGCTCATTCTGACCTAGGATGCAGCAGGTCCAAATTACATTTATTTCAGTGCTGCATCCAAACTAGTTTCCAAGTGTTTTTAATCTTGGTTTTCTTTCTATCTGTACTTCTTTCTCCATTTACTTTACCTTGGATGAGCAGCTGTAGCAATCTCTACTGCTGTTTTCCTTTTTTTGGCCAAATTGTTTTAACTTCTTGAATTTTGGGTTCTGATTTCACACTTTTGGTTCCTGCTCTTTAATATGGCTTTATTAGCCAAACTCTCCATACAACAAATTCTTAATGTCCTGCAAAAATCCACAATTCAGATGCTTCTCTTTTTTAAATAGCACTTTATATTCAAGTCTGTGACTTCATGTTGTACGTAGAACTAAAACACATAGCACTGTATACGTAGCCAATTGACTACAGTCTTGTGATCTAGAAAGAAACAGAAAACCAGCAAATTGTGTCTTCCAAATACACTCATCAACATTGGCTGTAGGGCTGCCAATTTAGAGTATTTCATACAAACATATTCATCCTTCTTTGGGTACTTACTCCTCTTGCCTTCCAAACAGGGACAGAATTCCACATTCATCCCACTCTTCTTATTGTTTTGCTGCTTTAAAGAGAATCCTGCCTTATCTCAGAAAGAAATAGCATCCATGGACAGCTCTAAATAGCAAAGCCATTTATCTGTCTGACATGTGTTTCCCTGTTTGTTTTCTCTGGCCCTCAGACACCAGCTTTGACAATACTTAGTTGTGTCAACTCTGGCAGGCTGCTGAGCCCACTCACTCCAGAGGTATGAATCAATTTCTTAGGGCCATTCATCATGCACTGTAGTAAACAGAAGCTCATCAGTGTTTGTTTCCTTCATTTGCCTGAAATAAACTCTGCACAGTTTTCCAGAAGAGGAGAAAAAAAGATGGGCAAGTTGGGGAAAAACCTCACTTTGGCCAAGAAGTTCACTCACACTGTTCATGTGACTATTCAAATTAAAATAAGGCCACTAAATCATGCCATGTTTCATCACCTTCCTCTACAGGACAGTCAGCAATTTTGTATGCAAACAGGGAAACTCTCATGCCAATTTATTACTTGTAACTATGAAGCAAAGAAGGACCTCAGCAATCTAAACCAACAACTAATTTAAACCCGGTTTCCAAATGCCAGCAAAAGCAGAAAACACCTTAAAATGATTTCTGAGAACAGTACGTTTCTGACAGATCTTCAGCACGGCAGAAGATATAAAAGATCCATTTCATATACTTTTGCTCTCAATGAATAGATAAAATTATTAAAAGGACATGCTCAGATATTATAATGGGCCACAGAGAAGGCAGTCAATGTGCATAAAATTGCTTCATGCATCATATATAAGTTACAGCAGTGGTGATGCTTCTATACAACAAATGTTGAATCAGGATTCACGAGATCTGGGTTTAAATCTCCTATCAGTCATGGGTCTCATGGTATCTTTAGGTCAGTCACTCTGATTTACCTCACAGGGTTCTGAGAAGGTAAAATGGCAAGACAGGGAAGAACATATATGCCACTTTGAGCTGCTTGAAAGACAGGTGACATATAATTGTAATTTTTTAATACAATGAACTATTATGTCCCATGAAGTTTTCAGATTTAAGGCTGTGTCTCCCCTGCACAATGTTACATTTTTCAGAATAACAAAAGCTAGTGGAATTTTATCAGAATGTGCTCGCTATGCAAAGCATGAAGCAGTCCTGCTTGCACTGCTACTGAAGACATGTGCCATATATAAGAGGACTATTGTAAAATAAAATGTCCTTCCTTTACAAAGCAAAGCATAATTTACTGCTTGAAGGCATGAGAAACAGGAAAGAAGGAAATCCCTTTCAATGTGTTAGTAACTTAAAATAGTGCAAGAGATTGTGGCTAGCTGAAAAGCATTTTTATAACCCAAACTACCTATGCCCAAATTTAGGAAGTAGAGCGACCACCCCCCTAACATCTGAATCAGATTGTGGCAGCCATCATATCCACTCTACTCTCTCTTTCGGCTTTGATTGAGGGAAAAAGCACAGAGTGGAGGTTGTTTGTTAACTTGGTAGAGATAAACATGGTACAACAGAACAGAAGAGATCAAAGGTCAGAAACAAGCTGTAAGATTAGGATGTTGGCACAGAAAAGGCAGGACAAAATAGCTAAAAAAAGACTAGGCAATACTAGAGCAGCGATTCTCAAAAGGTGGGGCTGGGCGGCTGGCACATTTGAAGAGGGCCACAGACGCATAATTGTTCACACACCACCTTATAACCACAGCCAGAAAAAGGCTGCGAATGACTGTGCTAGAGCACCAACTTGGCTTGGCTGTTAGAACTGGTGATTATGTGTACGCCATCAGAAACTGTATCCCCATGTAGCGTGCTCTCCCTTCTTCTTGTCTTGCTTAGGAACACTTATTGTCTTGCAGCGTGTTCAAGGTCCTCACCTGCTTGCAGTGTAATCAGCTGCTTCTGGAAAGAACAGATGGGTCAGAATTTAATCTCAGTTCAGTTTTGCTTGGAGTTAGGATTACTCTATTCCAATGTGAAGGAAAGGGAATCTGATCAGTTTTTTTCTTATTACCAGGGATACAGAAATGCATGTAACATTCATTTTCAGAGGCAATCATGTGCACATTCATTATGCACAAGTTCTCTGTGACATATCTAGTGGGCAAGTCTTGGGTCACCTTAAAGAGTCAACTGGTTTTATATGGCTTAAGTGTCTTTGGACTGCAGCCTGATTCTTCATATGCATGTGGTATTATTGCCTCACTAGACAGACATTTATACACAGACAGGGAGGCAATTGTGAAATGTAATAGAATTGCAGAAGTTCCATTTTGCTTCACATAATCCTAGTGCTTAAAGAGAAGGGGAAAAAATCTTTCTGACAAGTTACATTTCTTCAGCATTAAAAGGAAGAGGGTGGAAAGGGTGGAAAAGCCAGACTGCAGATATGCCACAACAAACGTTGATTGAAGCAAACATCTCTTCTGTGAAGGAGGAAACACAAGACTTTCAACAGACTAAAGGAATAGGCTTCACTAACAAAGACGTCATTTGTTCTCAAAGAGAAACAGAGTTGTTCAGGGAACAGAAAAGCGCTCTTCTCAGTTGGCAGCCACAAAATGAAAGAACAGTAAATAAGAAGAGACATTTAATTTGCGCAGCATGTGTCTTTTTAAAGCACACATGCTTTAGGTATGCACGTGATGCTCCTTTATTTGTATTTTCAATTTGCACAAAATAGGCACATATGCTGATTGCACTGTATCCATAATCTATTATGCCTGTCATAATCTGGGTAGCAACCTATCATTAACCATTTAAACTAATAAATGAAATGAACTGGTAGGATTGATGCACAACCTTGACGGTGATGATTTATCATCGAAAACTTGCTGTTTTTTATTTTTATTTTTCTTAACGGTCGGTAAAAAGTACACCTGTTCAGGCACTGTTTCCACAACCATGCAGCTTTTTCCTCAACTGTAAAATCCCACAGAATGGCTGATCAGGGCATCAACAGGAAGACCAATGTGAATTCTCAAACATCATGGATTCTTGATGCCAAAAAAGCCGCACTGCATACTAAATCCACAAGGTAAAGCTATTTATTTGGCTTTAACTGGCTGTTCCTGGTAGTTTAACTAAATTCCTAATCCCAACTCTGTTAGAGGCAGGCCATGCCCCTGGGCACTCTTCCCTCCCCTAGAAAAAAATAAATTATTTAAGTTTTGTTTTTGTGTGTGTGTGTGTGTGTGTGTG